TAATAGATTTTTAATTTTTCAACCATGTAAAACAAACAAACAAACAAAAACAATGCACGCTACATAAATGTAGAGCTCTTCCCCAAAGAAGGAATGGTTTGGAATTTAATTTTGGAGGAAAGAACTCTTGCCCCAGAGCAGTCATTTCTTGGCCTCTGAGGCTCACATCTTTATAAAGTGAGTTTGGGCATTTATAATAATATACAGAGAGTGGAAATAAGAAACTTCATTATCTAGGGTTACATTTTTCCTGGAATGTACAGAAATGTTATGTCAAAAGAAACACAGAAATTTATTTTATTTATTTTATTTTATTATTTTATTTTATTTTATTTTATTTTATTTTATTTTATTTTATTTTATTTTATTTTATTTTATTTTATTTGCAGAATGGGTAGAACAGTCTGCATGCCATGGAAGGGATGTGAGCACCTGAGCTGTGTGCATACCTGAACAGATGTCCCCAGCCAAAAGAGGCAGAAGTCTGTGGTGTGCACATCACCTGTGCTTCTCGGGATTCCTGAGACACTGAGCATGCCTGAGGAGTAACCTTCCCTGAGGACCAGCAGGCAAGACAGACTCATTAATAAGTGCAAAGCACGCTGAGGTCTTGTCATAGAAGCTCTTGCCAAAGCGTAATATGGCCCCATCATTCATGTATTTTGCAAAATCATGAGCTATTTTGGGGATGTGCTGACTCAGGGCAAGCTGGTTCAGATTGCCATGCCATTTATAACAAAAGTGCTTAGGGAAACTAGGGTGACCTCAAGATCTTTTAATAAAGTGCAAAATGCAGCTCATGTTCAGTATGTGTGTTCAGCATACCTCTTGTACAATTGCCAAGGATCTCAGATATGAATGCGAGACTCTTCATAAGTAGCTGATTTTTGAGTCAATGGGCTGTAACACTTTTGAAATCAATGATTATTTAAGAACTCCTAAAACTGTACATTGTTCAGCTGCTGTGCACACAAACATTGGATCTATTCTGTTCTCAGTTGGCTCTCTGCAAATGGGTAATTTGGATCTGAGGGCTGAAGGCTGAGCGTGGATTATAACAACTCTTTTTTTTCCTAGTCAGGCCAGTGAAACAGTCACCATACAGCTTTGCACTTCTTTTTTAATTCAGTAGGGGCTGAAAATTCTCTGCATTTTTCAGCTTTGGTTTCAGGATTCTCATCATTTTCAAAAATATGTGATTTTCACATTCAAAAATATATAATCTCACAAAGAGATCTGCTTGTTTGGGATTTCACCAGTGCAGATGTTTATTCTGATTTTTGATTTATTTTTTTTCTTACATTCTAGATGATAGCTCAGTGTTTATGACTTAGTATATAAGCACCAGTCTTCAGATGTAGAACCACAAGATGCCAAGTTGCCATCTATCCATTGGTCTTTGGATGTTTTGGTCTTTTCATATTTTGAAACAGGTAAAACGAGTAACAATAAAGCTTAATTCGGATGAGGAAGGAACAGCTTATGTTCTGCCTTGAAACCCCCCATGATACTTTCCAGAAGAAATTTCCTACGGCGTGTTTAGCTGACCTCTGTTCTGTGAGTGTGCTTGTGAAAGTGATAAACTGTGCACACCTGGCTAATATCAACACAAACATGATCATACTTCCTAGAAACTGGACTGGTGGGCAGGTCGCAATGACAAAAGCAAAGGATATGTTCTACGGGTTTCTGACGACTTTAGAGCATTGTATCACCTCATACAGAGCATGTGTGTAGTGCTGTATGAGATAAAGACCGTACTTAGATCACATCATTTGCCCATCAGTTCTGTCCCCATGGATTTATTCCAAAGTACACGGCAGTTTGCAACAGAACTTGTTTCACTAAAACATCATAACCTCAAAAACTTTCCTCTTTTCTCTAAAAATGATATCTTTTTGAGTCAGACACAAGACTGTGATGGGCCTCAGAAACAAAACTCTCATAAATTAAACAACTCGCTCTCCTGCTGTGCAACCAGGTTCAGAATGGAAACTCTAATATTTGTCAGGAAAGACTCTCAGCCTGCCAGGAAGCTGCCAGAAAACAGAGACTTGCAAACCCTTGCATTTAAAGGAACAAAAAAATGCCATTGTAAGGCACAATAAAGGCACAACTTTACATGTTCCAAAACACCTCCTAACCTATGTGCATCAGACACAACCTTGTGCTACTCAAGCAAGCAAAACCTCAGGTAGGTTACCAAGCATAACTTGCTGGTAGTTTTTCTAGTCTTGAATAAAACATCCTTATCAAACACATCCTGCAACAGACTTTACTGCTGATGAGAAAGTAGCATCCCTTTTCTGGGTAACCTCTGTTTATTTCTAATCTTGCATTCAGAAGGAGCAATTGAAGGAGTAGCAGAGAAATGCAGAAATGTTTCTGAATAACTCTGGTTTTACAGAGGCCCTGATAGTATGTAACAATTTGCGATAGGAAAGGGAGAGCCATTGAAGGTGGCTCAAAGTCTACTGTAGTTAATCTCTGGCATTCACAAAAATTGTTTTTAGCTGCTTGGGCAGCATAACAGCAGCTCTAAAATCTGATGGTGGAAGAATTCATTTCAATTTCCTGAGTATGTAACGTTCGTGTGTGAAGCAAACTAGCAACCGTGTTCTCATCTCTTCTTCCTTCTCCCCATGAACATCCAAACCCTGATGCAACGAGGCACTTCAGCCCTTCCCCGTGGAAGAAATTGCTTAAAGTTAGCTATGAAATTAAGTACTGCTCTGACAGATTATTGTTTCCCTACACTTGTAAGGCCAAATGCTGCAACCATCTACAGGAGAGCATAGGAATGGTCTAGGGAGAGGCTGAGGGCTGAGCAGGAAAGGTCCTGCTGCTGTCAGAGAGCTTCTGCTGGAGCACGGGCAGATGCAAACCTCACTAACCACGCAGTAGAGATGCAAGCTTCAGCCTAGCGAGAGTGTGCCTCTTTAGAAAAATAATGAAAAAGAAGAGGCAGTACTGAGACAGGATAAATAAGGAGATAAATCACTTTGCAATACAATGCGAGCCAAACCTGAAAATAAACAATTACTTTAAATCATATCAAGCACCTATCACAAACATCACATTTATACAATTGATCCATGTGTAAATTAGCCAATTAATTCTGGATTGGAACACTAATGAAATAATAATTATCTGTTTACAATGGAATGGTATGAGTGTGGATCTGGGAGCAGAAATAGAAGAAAGACTGAAGCAAATTCCACCTGGGTCCTCCACTGCTGAGCATGGGGATGGGTCAGTCAACATCAGATGTCCAGATATTGCAGGGGGACAAAAATAAAACACACAAATATGTATGATTTATTATTATTATTATTATTATTATTATTATTATTATTATTATTATTATTATTATTATTATTATTATTATTATTGTGTATGTGTGATACAGAATAAAGAATTGCAAAGTGGCTTGGTTTTTCTTTTCTGCTTAGCTTTTTCCACTATGGGTGGTTGTTTACCCTGAGGGACTAGAGGCATTAGGACCCGATAGTCACCAAAGAAGTTAAAGAGGAAAGTAAAAGGGTGGGAATTTCAATACAGAATGGTTTGAGTGACTCAGATCTGCAGCAAGAACTTTCCTGAGATGGGGGAATGCACTGAGGTCTTCTATAAAACTATGCACCTTGGTTTTTCAGGTAAGAGCTGCAAACAGACAGAACAGAGCTTTAACCCAGCTCCTCGTGTGGTAAGCAAGAGCCCTGGGCTGTTTTCTGTCTAAGAACCACTTTCTGTCTCTCATTTTTCCTGTGCATTGCAGCCCAGAGTTGAGGAGTATTTCCACTGAAATGGACTTTCCTTGAAAATTTTGTGATAATTTTTACTTTGCCCGATTCCTTTAAGAGCAGTGGATGTTTAGAGGAAGAGTTTTTCTATAAACTTTTGTGAATAGCTGAGACCCTGTCCCCAAAGTATGCATGGCTAATTTTTCATTTCTGCACTCCCAGTTTACCTAAACTAATCTTTACAATGACACTAACAGTTTAAAAATGGTCACATAAGAAACAGTGTTCTGAAAAGTCACGTACACTGAATATATGTGGTAAATATCATGCCTGCTGCAGCCAAAAATATTACTTGATTGGGTCAGTGGAAGCTTCCCCAAGATTTATAACCCCAAATGTTCTGGGGGAAGCAGAAATCCTGGAGATAGCTTGCAAGCATTGCCATTGAGAAATCTGATTCGGATAAAAGATGTGTTATTTCTAACTGCCAGGTGGATGCCTTTGAAATGGAATAGCAAGAGAAGGAAGAGAAATCAGTTGTAATGATCAGGGCATTAAAACATTTAAATGTAGAGATTGTTGCCTCCCTAAGCACACTCACACACTCTCAAGTCTATAGCTCTGCATATGCCAGGACAGATGTTTGCAGTGGATGCACACATGTATTTCAAATGTTGAGAAGCACACCAGAATTAAGAGGCTAGGTCCTCCTTTCCTTTCCTTTCCTTTCCTTTCCTTTCCTTTCCTTTCCTTTCCTTTCCTTTCCTTTCCTTTCCTTTCCTTTCCTTTCCTTTCCTTTCCTTTCCTTTCCTTTCCTTTCCTTTCCTTTCCTTTCCTTTCCTTTCCTTTCCCCCTCTTTCTTCCTTTCCAATTTCTTTTTTTCGTTTTCCATTTTCCGTTTTCCTTTTATCTTTTCCTTTCTTTCCTTTCTCCTTCCCTTTTCCCTTTCCCTTTTCTCTCTTTTTCTCTTTTCCATGTTCCATGTTCCATTTTCCATGTTCCATTTTCCATTTCTTCCCTTTAGTTTCCTTCTTTTCCCCCTCCCTTTTTTACTTTTCCCTTTTCCCTTTTCCCCTTCCTTTTCCCTTTCATTTCCCCTTCCCTTTTCGTTTCCCTTTCCCTTCCCTTCTCTCCTCCCCTCCCCAGCCCACCCTCCCCCCGCTCCTACACCCTCCGCCCGCCCTTCCCCCGGCCCGCGTTCCCGGCAGGGGGCGCCTCCTGCCCGGCGGGGAGGCGGCCGGAGGCTCCGTGCCGGGCAGGGAAGGAGAGGACAAGGAAGGGGAAAGGGGGTCCCCTAAATCGCTGCTGCTCCGCGGCGGAGCTGGGGAGGGAAAAAACCGTGCCCCGAGGTGCCTGGGGGGGGGAGCCGGGCGTTGCAGCGATACCCAGGGGGGAGCCGAGCTCCGGGCACCCCGGTCTCGGTGCCGGGGGGCTCGGGCATCCCGCACGGCTCAGCCCGGCCCGGTTCGGCCCGGATGGGCCCGGAGCCGCCCCTGGATTTTGGGGTAGGGGGATGAAAAGGGGTGTCCGGGCTGCGGGGCCGCTTTGGTGGCGGGAGCGGGGCGTCCCTCGGCTCCCTTCTCTCCCGTGGTGCTTCAGCGGAGCCGGTGTCCCTTTGTGCTAATAGCCCCGTCCTCATTTGCTGCCTAATTGGCCTATATAAAGCCAATAACGGGCGGGCGCTCGGAGCCTCCAGCCGCAGCAGCAACGTCGCAGGGGGGCCGGGGCCGCGGCGAGCTGCGGGCAGGCAGGGGCTGAGCGGAGCCTTCTCCTCCCGGCTGCCTCCCCGCCTAATCCCATTTGCCATCGTGCGTGCCCAATCGCCGTGTGCTCCCCGCGTTTAACTTGGATGACATTTTGATTTCATCATTAGCATCCGGCGCCAGGTTGACGCAGCAGCGAGCGGCGGCGGCGGCGGCGGCGGCGGCGGCGGCAGCGACGACCCCCGGCTCTCTCCGCCTGCCCGCAGCAGCCCCCCGGTGCCTGGGGCTGCCAGGGTCCCCCCGGCCCCCCGCCCTGCCGCCCCCTCATGCGAGGGGCCCCCGGCCGGCCCCGCCGCCCCGCTCCCCCGCCGCTCCGCCTCGCCTCTCCCCCGCTCCGCCGGGAGCCGCCTCGGGCGGGCAGGAACCGGGCGGGCACCGGAGGATGCCGGAGACCGGGCAGGAGCCGCCCAGCGCCCCGCCGCCCCCCAAGGAGTCGTTCTACATCAAGAACCTGCTCAACGGAGACCCCCCGAAAGCGGCCCCCAAGCAACCGCGCCCGCTGTTCGCCCCGTCGGGCAAAGGGGCGGCGGATGGAGCCGGCTTCGCCCTGTCGCAGGTGGGCGACCTCGCCTTCCCCCGCTTCGACATCCCGGCTCCCCGCTTCGCCCTGAGCGCCCACTGCCTGGAGCGAGCCCAGACCTGGTGGTACCCCTACGCCCTCACCCCGGCCGGAGCCCACCTGCCCCGCACCGAAGGTAGCGCTGCCCGCCTCCCCGACGGGGCGGCCGCGGGGATGGGGACGGGAACGGGGAGCGGGGACCGGGAGGAGGATGGGGACGGGGCTAGGGGACGGGATGGGGACGGGGAGCCCGCGGTTGGGGTCGCGCATCCCGGCCCGGGGTCCCCCCCGCTGCCCCCCGACGGGGCGCCGGGGCCGGGCGGTGAAGGTGTCTCTTTGTGTCCCTCTCTCCCCCCTGCCCGCTGCCCCCCGGTCCAGCCGCCGAGAAATCCCTCCTGAGGGACTCGTCCCCAGCCTCGGGCACCGACAGGGACTCCCCGGAGCCTCTGCTCAAGGCGGATGCGGAGCACAAGGAGCTGGACTCCAAGAGCCCCGACGAGATCGTGCTGGAGGAGAGCGACTCGGAGGAGGCCAAGAAGGAGCCGGGCGCGGAGGACTGGAAGAAACGGGAGGAGAGCCCGGAGAAGAAACCGTGCCGCAAGAAGAAAACCCGCACGGTGTTCAGCCGCAGCCAGGTCTTCCAGCTGGAGTCCACCTTCGACATGAAGCGCTACCTGAGCAGCTCGGAGCGGGCCGGCCTGGCTGCCTCGCTGCACCTCACAGAGACCCAGGTGAAGATCTGGTTCCAGAACCGGCGCAACAAGTGGAAGAGGCAGCTGGCGGCCGAGCTGGAGGCCGCCAACCTGAGCCACGCCGCGGCGCAGCGCATCGTCCGCGTCCCCATCCTCTACCACGAGAACTCGGGCGCCGAGGGCGGCTCGGCCGCCGCCAGCGCCCCCGGCACCCAGCCCCTGCTCACTTTCCCCCACCCCGTCTATTATTCCCACCCCGTGGTCACCTCCGTGCCCCTCCTGAGGCCCGTCTGAGCCCGCTGTGTCCCCCCCACCCCGGCCCCCGGCCCCCCGCGTAAGTAACTGCGGCGACGGCGCGGCCCCGACGGCGAGGGCCCGGTGAGGGGAATGTGGGGGGGGGGGAGACGGAGGGGAAAAAGAACGGAAAAAGCGGCCGGGACCCCGGGGAGAGGTTGGGGGGGGAACGAAAAAGGGAGCTCGGAGAGCCCCCCGGGGCTGTCACGCCGTTTGGGAGCGTGGCCGAAAGCCGCGGTGGGCTCGGCGGCTTTAGGTTTATTTTTGTATCAAAAAAAAAAAAAAAAGGAAAAAAAAAAAAAACAAACGTGGGGAGAATAAAAAGAGAACGATCCCGCGCCACTCCTCGAGGTTTGCCAAACGCTAAAGGGAAAGGCGAAAATTTCCGTCCCTTTCGGACCTCTCCTCTGCCTCCGAACCGCGCCGGCTCCCGACCCTGGTGCGACTCCGACTCCAGCGACCGCGGCTTTTCCTTGGGGCAGCCCTCGGCACCGATTTGCCTCTTTCTTTCCCCATATTTTGTACCTTTCGCTTTCTGCCATGGGACTTTCTAACTAGCGAGAACTACAGCCTCACAGCCAACGGCTGAACACCCCGGCACCACCGGGTGCCGCTTATTTATTATCGGTTCCGTAGAGATTTTAAATCCTTGCTTTTAATTCTTGTTTTCCTACCAGTTGTCTTTATTTTTTTTTCTTTATTTTATTTTTTTTCCTTGTAAAGTTATTTCGGTATCTGGGGGAAGAAAAACAAAATCTGTACTCTTTTGATTTCTTTTGTAATACCGACTCTTCTTATTGTACCTTTGAACTGTGCAATATTGTACGAGGATTCTCAAAGCACTGCTTTTATTTGAATGGTGAGGAAAGGGTTTTTAGCACTGTATAATTGCGTTCGTTCACGTTGTACAAAATACAATTGAAACAAATAAAAATGAAAGAGAAGGAAAGCGAAAAGAGAGGAGCAGGGCGTGGGAATAAGCATCAGCCCGGTTTGTACGAATAAACGAGGGCGATTCGGAGAGCTGGGCGCTTTAAGTGAAGGACAATCAACTTTAGGGTAATTTTAATTTATTTGATATGATGTACAGTTTTCTTCTAAAGTCCATCGAGTCTGTGGATTTTCATAGGCAGAAATCCAGCGAGGAGTGGACACCTCTAGTCCCTCTCTGTCTTAGTGTCTGCTCACCTGTTGTCTGACAATTGTTTGCTGTCTTCCCAAGGGTTTGGGTTGGTCGCTATTCTTTTTTATTTTTATTTAATTATTGTTATTTTTTTTTAAGTTTTAGTTTATTTTTTCCCCTTCGGTTGTACTCCCTGCCCTCTTGCTTTCTGTTAGGGACCGCTCCTATTTTTAAAACAGCCTATATTGTTATAAACTGAATGTCGTGGTGGAAAAAAAAAATCAATAAAACCCGTTCCTTATCATTTTTTTTTATTATGATTATGATTATTTCAAGTGTGGCTTCGGAGAAAACAAACAAACACAAAGCGAACGCTGCCTGCAAGCCCTGCTGGCCTCCCGGAGACCCCCACCTCGGGGGGATTTTGGGGTGCGGATGGAGGGGGGGCCCCGCTCCCGGCCCTGCGAGCCGCCAGCCCCGACGTGCCCCGGATCCCGAGGGGGGTTCCCTGGGTCGGAGTGGGGCCGTGCTGGGCCTCCCGGCCTCCATCCCGCGGGGAGAGGCTGCTTTACACCCGGAGGCCACGTCGGGGATGGGTTTGGGGCCGGCCCGTGCGCCCCGTCCAGGAGCATCCCCTTCTTGTCGCCGTCCCGTGGAGGGGCTGGGGGGCGGCGGGGGGGTCCCCAGCGCCCTGCTCCCCCCAGCTCTGCCCAGCCAGAGCCGAGGCTCAGCCTCCTGCCCCGGGCACGGTTATTCCCGGATAGGATCGCTCTCCTCTGCCCCGAGATTGGCCCGACTGGACGTGTTTATAGCGCCCAGGGCAGCGGCTCGGGGCGAAGAAATCAAAATAAAAAGCAGCACTGCGAGAAGATAGTCCCGCGTTTTCTTTTCGTTTGGGATAAAAACCCTGGCAATGGGTCGTAAATGGAAAATAAACAGAGGTTCGGAGTCAAAATACGCTGCTCGCTGTGTCGCCTACAAACAGAGCTATGCCTTTGCTGTTTGCACCACTAACTTTGGGACAAGTCGCTTGCAGCTCATTAAAAATATTGTTGCAATAGCAAATACATCTTGCCATTTTTACTGCGCGATAGCACGATGTTACCAAACGGCGAGGAAAGAAAAAGCTCGCTTATTTGTGGTCAGTGCCCAGCAAACGACTCCGGATTGCCCCGGCCCCCCCTCCGTGCCCAGATCGCTGCGAGCTCCGTCCCCTCCCCTGCGCGGCTCCGCGCAGCGATGCGCTGGGGCAGGCGCTTTATTTTTAAAGGAAAAAATAGAAATAAAAAAAGAAAAGAAATAAAAGAATATTAAAGGCCAGTTTTTGTGCTCGTTCCTCCCGTTTTTCTGCCGAGGTGGCGGCGGAGAATAAGGTGGGAGAGAGCAAAAAAAGTTGGGCGCAGGCTGGGGGCTGCACAGCGCGGTGCCGGCGGTCGGGGTCGGGGCAGGGGGTAGCGGGGGGGCGACATAGATTCCCCAAAAGCCTGGGGCGGCATCGGCTCCCCAGCAAGGTCCTTTCCCTTTTGGCAGAGCCCCGTTGGCTGCCTTTTGGGATCGCTGCTGGAGAGCCCGCATCAAGTGCCCCACTCGGGAGGATCGGGAGCGCTCGCTTGGAGCGGCTGTAAAAGCATCTGGAGAGCGAGAAAAAAACAAAAAGTGATGGGCAGGGAGCTTGGTGCAATTGAAGGAAAGTTGCTTCGTTCCCCTAAGCTGTAGCAACTCGGCGGCCACTTGCGTTTGAGTGCCGCGACCTCGCCCTGCAAATCTGTGCCTTTGTTTGCAGCCGAGCGGGGCCGAGCACAGCGAGCCTGCGTGTTTGGGGTAGA